GGGTTGCACTCCCAAGCTGCGGACCCTGTCCTTTAGAGGGAGTGCAACCCCATTCAGGACAAGATCCAAGTCACCTACCAAGGAGTTCAAACCACCTACCAGCAGGACCTCCGTCTTGTCTGGATTGAGCTTCAGTTTATTGGCCCTCATCCAGCCCATTACCTCAGCCAGGCACCGGTTCAGTACAGCCACTGCCTCACCTGGATTGGTGGAAAACGAGAGGTAGAGCTGGGTATCATCAGCGTACTGATGATTCCGCAGCCCACACCTCCGGATGACCTCTCCCAGCGGTTTCATGTAGATGTTGAATAGCAAGGGGGACAGAATGGACCCCTGTGGAACTCCATGGCATAACTGCCATGGCGCAGAGGTAAAGTCCCCCAGCACCACCTTCTGGAATCGGCCGTTGAGATAGGAGCGGAACCACTGCCAAGCAGTGCCTCCTACTCCCAGCCCCTTAGCCTATCCAGAAGGATACCATGGTCGATGGTATCAAAAGCCACCGAGAGGTCCAGGAGAACCAACAGGGACACACTTCTCTCTCCCTGCACAGGTCATCATACAGGGCGACCAAGGCAGATTTAGTACCATACCCGGGTCTGAAGCCGGACTGAAATGGGTCCAGATAATCAGTCTCATCCAAGAGAGCCTGGCGTTGTCCCGCCACCACCCGCTCCAACACCTTGCCCAGAAACGGGAGGTTGGCCACCGGCCAGCTTACTGGTTGCATGCATTTCTTTGCTTCGGCAAATGCTGAAAAGGCATGTCTATTACTCTGCACACATGTGCTTCCCCTCCCTGCCTCCTGCTTTTCCAATGTAATATGTTTATTTTGCCAAAATAACAAAATCTTCTCCCTCTGTATGTCTATCCTCTGAGTTGAGGATTAAGCAGATGGTCAAAGCCAGCCAAAATGTGTGGGCCAGTGGCCACTTTGTAAAACAGAGCAAGCTGCCAGCTTTCAGCTTGTCTTCTACAGCTGTCTTTTATTTTCTCCTGTTTTCCATAGTTGCAAGGGACCATCCTTCAGTATGTGAAAACCTTGATAGAAGTGATGCCGAAGATCTGCCGCCTGCCAAGGCATGAATACGGATCTCCAGGTTGGTACTTGGATGGCATTAGGGGAGCCTTTTCCCTGGTGCCCTCTGGATGTTTTGGGCTACAGCTTCCAGCGTTCCTGATCCATGGCCATGGTGACTTGGGTAGATGGAAGTCCAAAACATACGGAGGGCACCCAGCTGGAAAGGCTGCATCATGAGATGCCTGTCGACATTAACTCTTCCACTGTAAGAACCTTTCTGCCTTCAAGATGTTCCTCGGAGAGTGACATGTGCTACTGTCCTGCCTTAAAGCCGCCCCAGAGACAGTGACTTGCCAGACGCCACCTGGTGAACTTCATGGCTGAAGAGAAGTTTGAACCCAGGTCTCCCTGGTTTGCGTACACCACACTGCCAGTAATTAGATTGCTTAATCAACTAATTGCCCCAGCCTTTTCCCAATTTGCTTGGGGCAGTGTACTCCGGTTGGCTTAAGCAGATAACATCCAGCCGTGGGCCAGGCTGCAATGCACAGAGCTCTGGCGAGCAGCAGCGAAGGGGATCGCTGCACTTCGCAGAGGCCACCACTGGGAGGCAAACCGGCCTCATGAGCAGCAGCGCTTTGAGCTTCCCCGGTGTGGGCAGCCTTTGCCGCTCGATGGCCATCCTGCTCTGCACGAACTGGGCCTGCCGTTGCTCTCAGGGGCCTTCCTCCTCCCAGTGGCCCCTGCCCTCCCGAACAGGGGCACCGCCCCCACTTGGCACACACCTGCTTCTCCCAGGTGCTGCCAAGGGCAGCGTGCAGCATCACTGCATGGCCGTTGATGCCCTGGGCGTTCCAGAAGTGCTTCTGTTTCGACATGCTCCAGAGGTAGTTGCAAGTACCATTCCTTTTCCTTGCTACTTTTATTATAGCTTTAAATGGATTTGACCTACTTGTCACATATTTGTTTTAATATGGACTTTTCATAATTTAGCTATATTTTATCACTGTGTGTGTTGTGTTGTGTTGGCCCATTCAAGTGAAAAATTGGGAAGGAATAAAATAATCTGTGTCATAGTAACCTTATTTTATTTTATTGTATCCATTCATTGAAAGCCTTATAAAATAAATGTCCCTAGCAGAATGATCCCATGGTCCCTGAACAGTGTCTGGAGGGCCCCAGTTCTGTTGTCTGTGTGAATCCCAGCTCTGATTAGGGAAAACAGCTCTGACCTCAGAGCTGTGACCTGTCCTCAGCGAGCCCCTGTCCCTGAACTGGCAGCTTCTCCAGGGCTGTAAGCATGTCTTCAGAGAAGGACATTCGGAGAGAAAGAGACCAGCACCACCAACTCACAACATAGACTAGCACTGCTGTGGCCTCCTTCCCTTCTAAAGCACCAAAGCACCGTATTTAGCTGAAACTGGCCATCTAACTGCTTTGCAGGGCAGGAGAAACATGGAGGTGAGTTTTGCCTCTGTGCTCTTCCTATTTATGAAAAATAGGAGCCCCATAATCCACACATTCTGGAGGGTTACAGGCTGCCTCATTATCTTGTGCCCTGGGTGTGTTACGTTTTAAAAATGTAATCATAATGTTGATACAAATAAAATGAAATACTGGAAACAGTCCATAATGTAAAACTAATATGTATGCACAAGGAAGCTGCAGAAGCATTCACAATTTTAGGCCAATCATCCCTCTTTAGATATGGAAGTACTTGTTCTGCTGAAGTAGGCATGCAACAGGACTAGGGCTGTATGAATCATACAAGTCAAGCTTGTCGGCATTCTTGGGATTCCATCTCAGATTATGAGCTTCATTTTTTTTTTTTTTGGTTTGCCCCCAAAATTATGCACATTTCAGGACTTATTTACCTAACTACATATAGGAATTGACAGCAACTTGTCTGACAGACTTGGTAGTTCCCTTTCCTGTCATAGTTATTTATTTAAAACATTTTTATGCCACCCCCATTGCAACAAAGCCTCGGGGCAGCTCACAACAGAAACAAAATACATAAATACATAAATAATAACAATGTAACAATAAAAAAATTATTTAAAAACCCCCGGTGCATCTCGACTAAAAATTTAAAATCCTATAAATACAAATCATTTAACAATTAAAATAAGTTTTAAATAAAAAGTCACCGAAAAACAAATAACAACGGCGCCAGGCGGACCTCTCTGGGGAGCGCGTTCCATAGGTTGGGTGCCACCGCAGAGAAGGCCCTCCTCCAGGTACTCACCCTCCTAATATCATTCACAGAGGGTTCCCGGAGAAGGGCATCTGTTGCTGATCTCAAAGGGGCGGCATAGCCACCCCCTAGTTAATTTGTGATCTCTCTTCCTTGCTTCTCCCAAGGAATCCTGGAGTTTTTCCATCACCAGCTGAAGGACATCATTGAGTATGCAGAGCTAAAGACTGATGTATTCCAGAGCCTGAGGGAAGTGGGTAATGCCATTCTTTTCTGCCTTCTCATAGAGCAGGCCCTGGTGAGTTGAGATGAATTCTTTTGGAAATTGGCTGGGCTAAACAAACTTCAGATAATACATTAATAAACGAGTAATTCCAATTCAACAAGTATAAATATGGTTGGGATCCAAGGAGAGTGATGCCATTTAGCTATGTCTGAGGAGCAGGACTAGGCATAAGCTGTAAAACTGTGTAAATAAGAACAGATTTTAGGAAGTAGCATGGTGCACTCAGAAGCAAAGAGTTACTGAATGTGGGAATTAGGCCACGGTGAAAGCGGTGCAGATTATGGGTTAGTTCCGAGTTGAGAAAGGCCCTTTGTTTTGAATCTGATTTGGAAAATCACCATAAAGTGATCAGATCACTGTGAAGTTCATTGCAAGTTGAGGTGTGTTCTGTACAGATGACATAGAGCATCCATGCTGAAGGAGAGCTTGGCGCTTGTTCCCATAGCTTTTTATGTAGGACAGGCATGTGCGGAACCAGCCCTAACGGTCCGCATATACCCATGATTTCGGTCCTTGCTGGTCCCTTGCCTGTGCTATCCACTCCACTTCAGGCATGGCAGCAAAAGCGCAGTGCGGAATGTGTACTTTGCATGACACGGATGTTGGACTCTGAAACACGGAGTCTCGATTTCTCAGAGTACCCACTCTGTCTGCTTCCTATACAGCTGTTAGCACCCAGGCCCAGACTGAGAATGTGGGAAGCTCCTATCCAAATATCTCTTAGTGTCTATTCTAGTCTATTCCTTCTTGTGTTTCCCATCTTCCATTAAGGTGAAGGACTCTAGGCTGTTCGGCCATATCACAGCTCCCTTGAACAGTGCCTTCTCCCATTGTGGATATGTTAGTCCTTCTAATCTGCGTACTGTCGAGCCTGTGCTTATGTGCAACACCTTCTTTCTCCTCCTCTTACTGGATGCTTAATCCACTCAGTTGCTTCTCATAGAAATGGCACCTGATTAGTATATCAGAGAGCCAATATTATCTTGCCATAATTGCAGAGTGTCAATGGCCGCACAAAGGTAAGCACAGTGAGTCCTATGTAAAGGAAAGATGTTCTGGGCAGGGTGATAAGAATTCTATTGATCGTGTGTGTGACAAGGTTATCTGATCACTCAGTTTTAAGCCATTCAGTGAAGATTTTGATACTGTATGCAAAATAATTAATTCTTTTGGACTTTCCGACAGCCATAAAGCTACCCAAGACTCAGAGCTCACTTACTGAGTACACTTGTCCCATGATGTATTAATGTGTCCTCTCTGAGATTCCATCTCCTGCTTGTGACTCAAGGGAGAACATTTTGGCATGAGCTTATTTTTCTTAACTACACCATTCCAAAACAGCAAATATTTTTTCTGAATCAAAGATTCAGAGCAGTAGACTTTTTTATGAGTAGATCTTAACTCCTGGTAGAATGGCCTTTGACAAAGACCTTCTGAATTCATGATTTCCTGAACATCATAATGAAAGTCAATTTCTAGTAGAATTCTACAAACATGTCCTTTTCCAAGGACAAACTAATCTATCGATTACTAATCTATTAACTTATTCAGGTACTTAGGACGTGCAACAAAGCACAGGCAGTTGTCATCTGAAGTTACCATGTGATTAAAAACAAGATCTATGTGTGCAAAGATGGCTCTGGAAGGAAAAGGGACTCCATGTGTAGGCAGCCACAAAGCTCCCTCCCCCTCTATGTTTGACAGTCAAGGGATAAGGTAAAATTGGACGAAACAACCAGTTCTAGTGCTGGCTTTCTGATGAAGTAGAAAGCACCTCCTTCTCATCATACAATTAACTGTTTATAAAATATTGCCCTGGACATAGAAACAAGTAACTAACACCCTCCTAGGATGTGCATCATGTTACTTGCGGTTAGTGCCCGAGGCTTGGATGAGGGACTGTGCACTTACTTTTGACTCTGTAAGGCATGGCTGGAGATTGGAGAATTGATCACAGCATTCCAAATGTGTCCTCACGCAGAGATCTATTGACACCTCCTCTTTTTGCAGTGTCTTGCCTCTTTGCATGCAGCCTGCAGCCATCATGGTTTACTTTGTTGCTACACCGCCCTGTAGACTCATGCAGAATTTGCTGCCAACCATTACTCAAGTCTCCTCCGGCATTTCTGCTTTCCAGGTCTTGCCTCTGTGTGTGTCTGCAGTTTGGAATAACTTTGGGTATCTGTATGTGTTTCCAAATGCTTCTCATTCTGTGGTTCCTCTCTTGGCTTCTTCCAGCCCATTTCTATGATTAATGGGGCATTGCCTAAAAGGAAAAAAGTATGCAAAGGATTGAAATCTGGATACTATTTCTCTATCCACAGTGGCATGTCTAGGTCCTCCTTTCTGTTAGCATCAAGAGTTATTTGCTTTCCATAGAGTGATATAAAAGCAACAACATAGAAGATCATGCAAGACCGTTTTCATTTACACATTTGGTGGCTTACAGCCAAAGAGCTACAAGAGTCTCTCCCATGATATAGTGTTGTGTGAAATAGAAACAATTGCAATTAAGTTGTCAGGCTGCAATTTACATTCACAAGACTTGTTTCAAACCAAATGTCTTTACAAACAGACCTTTATCTTCCCTTGCTCTGCATATACCATGGGGTGAGCCACAAGCCAGCTCTGTGTATCCAGCTGACTCCTTTTTATGACCCTCATGTTTTCATGAGTCCTTTCTAATGAGCTCCCAAGCTTGCTTTAGGTACAGCCTGTAAAGGCACATTTCTTTTACTTTTAGTGGCAAGACGTTGGGCGTGTCTGCAGCAGCTTTTTCCTGGAAGGATCCTAGAACAGCCTTCCCCAAGCTAGCACCCTGCAGATGTGTGGCAGAACAATTTCCATCATCCCAACCAGCACCACCATCTTCAGGGCACCAGGTTGGAGAAAGCAGCCCTGGAATGCCCAAGAAAGAGGTCCTTGTGACAGCGACCCCTAACTAGGCTCCCTCTTCTGGGCTTTATAGTGCGAAGCTCTCTGAAAGTCTCTGCGGTGTTTTGCTGAAATATAAGAGGGACTTTGGCTGCATCTAAACCTGGGATTTCACACAGCCAAATGGAGGCTTGGCTTGTGAATAAATACATTTGAATAGTTGGCCTGGCTACCTTTTAGGGTGGTCTTGCACTCCTGTGATGCTCTTGGTCCCTGTGAAGTGCAAATAGGTGTCAATAGAGGCCCAACAATGGGCACATAGAAAAGAAATCAAATGAAGAAAGACAAGGGGCAGGTGCAGTGGCGATTAGTACAGTTTTGCAATGGCCATACTGGCTGCGGCTGGTGGGAGTTGTAGACCAATACATCTGCAAGGTGCAAAGGTAGGGAAGATGGATTTAGCATGTTGTTACGGACAAGCCAGTTTATCACTTTTAGGCAGTAGCAGGTAACATGCCCCAAGTAACAAACCAGACTCAGATGAGTCAGAAAGTCAACCCAGGCCTAATGTAGGGGATTGGCTTTTTATTTATTTATTTATTAAAACATTTTTATGCCGCCCCATTCGCCGAAGCCTCGGGGCGGCTTACAACAATAAATAAAATAATCATAATCATAAATTAAAAATATAAACATTAGAATAAAATATAAACATACAATATAAAATAAGCTGCCCTGGCCAGATAAAATTCAATAATATTAACATTTAAAATGCTGCTTAAATAAAAAGGTCTTCGCCTGGCGCCGAAAAACAAATAACGACGGCGCCAGGCGGACCTCTCTGGGGAGCGCATTCCATAACTTAGGCACCACCGCTGAGAAAGCCCTCCTCCGAGTACCCACCCTTTCTTCACCTAGTTGAAGCCGGAGGAGGAGGTGTGCCTAATTTGGACTGGGACTGTGGCACTGAGGCAGGAAGGTTCGCCTGCATGTGTCCCCCCACCCCCAACCACAAAGCAAATGGCAGTTTTGGGGAGAGTCAATAGATCCAAACTTTCCTTCCCACCCTCGTGGCTGCTTTTACATTAAAAAGCAGGCACCTTTGAACAGGGTCTGCAGGACCTGGAGGAGCTCCCTGTGGAAGGCTGTGGGCACAGTATTGCTTACCATGGTCCCCACGTCTGTTGTTAGGTAAAGCCAGAATCCTGCTTCTCAAACTGAGTTTCATAGGCTTGAAAGGAGTCTGTAGTCATGGGGTCAAATGGACTGGCCTGCAAGGATGCCCAGTCTTCACTGAGAAGCTTAGAAGGTTGGTGCCTGGGTGGGGTTAAGTGCCTGGAAATTAGATGGCTCAATTTAGTCTCTGAAAGACCTGAATTGTCCTTCTAAGCGTAGGTGCTTGGGAACCTCTCTTCAGAGAGGCCTCTGGAGGGAACCATGTTGGACTCCAGATGTGGTGGATTCAGGGGGCTTTCCATCTTCTAGTCAAGGTGTGGGTCATTCATGGCATTCCAGATGTTCTGGCCAACAGCTCCCATCAGTAGCCAGTGGTGAGGGATGAAAGGAATTGGAGGCCAGAGTATTGGAGGACCACAAGTTGTTTGCATGTTTCTTGTACTAAGTTTAGGGTTAGGGTTAGCAGAAGAGACAACACCCCATAATCCTTCACAGTACATGATGACATTGTGTCACATAAAGTAGAAGACGTTTGTGTTAATCATGGGCAAAGCTTGCTTGGAATCAGAGTGCCACACTGTTCAGCATCGTTGTTCAGACAAATAGTCAAACTATTCTGTAAATAGAAAACTCCAGTGAAACTCCAAATTTGCATAAGGCAAGAAGATCTTGGATAGGATGATATAATGATATTTGGATTCAAAAGGCATTTTCTTTCATTCTTTCATCCTCGAGATTGGGCTCTATTTGAATACACCCTCTTGAGTCACACGGGGCAGTATGCCCTTCCCAAGCATACAGACAGCTGGACAATCAGTCCCACGGGGAATTTTTAACACCTTTTATCTTTCTTCCTCCTGCCTCAGTCCCAGGAAGAAGTGTGTGATTTGCTGCATGCTGCTCCCTTCCAAAATATTTTGCCCAGGGTCTACATCAAAGGTAAGGAGTGAAGAGATGGACAGATATTAGTCATTATTCCCAGAGATGTGTAACAGCTATAGAATTGCAGATATATACTTGAGATCAGTAAGTTTCTAAGAACCTTAGGCCTAGCCAGCCATTCATTGACTTCAGCTTACCAGTGGTCCCACTGAACACACAAAAGGTAACATCACACTGCCTGTGAGCAACAGCAAGAGCCTTGCTTTTAAAACAAGACCCTTTTACGACTGTGCCGGTCTCATGGCTATAACCGCAGTCCCTCCACAGTGCATTACTTTGTTTCTGCTCTGTCACACTGGTCCCCGAGTTGGACAATGGTTGGGAAGTGACTCTGAAATGCTAGATTTTTTTTCGTTTTGCTTTCTCATTTCACTGTTTGCTGCTCGCTTAACAGAAGGAGAACGCTTGGAGGTACGCATGAAGCGTCTCGAAGCCAAATATGCCCCACTTCACCTGGTTCCCTTAATAGAGAGGCTGGGAACACCTCAGGTAAGGATGACATTCAAAGCCACATTGAGTGGGTGACCCAAAATGTCATATCTGGAACCCCCACCCCACAATTGTCCCTAAGCCACAGGAAGTCTTTCTGGTTGTTGCCTAGGTTTCAGTTCAACATTATGTAGTCTGTCCACAGATATTTCGCTGCTACTAAGCAAAATTAGATTGTTCTTACTGAGGCTCTGTGTGTGGTGTATGCAACAGTGTCCCTGTTATCACTCACTAAGTAAAGCAAGGTCAAAAGGAATGAGTTTGCTCATAATTGTCCTGCTGGCTACCAGAGTTTTAGATCTGGATTTTTATCCACAGACTTTGAGCCAAGAACTTCTCAGTTCACATAATCACAAACCTGAGAACCATGATTACAATCTTCTCTCTTATTTCCATCATCTCAAGAAGAAGGACCGAAGCAAACCTTATGACATCTCAGTGGGAAGTTTCCTACCCTCTCCCTATCCGTCAATTGTAATACTTGCCATATGAATTATTATGAGATTGTAGGTTTCTCCAACCCTTACATAATCTGTAGGCTCAAACTAAGATACTTCTAGATGTGCAATTCTTTCTGTTATAAATTGTGTTTAGCAACCCAGGTCGGTTGGAACATTATCCTGGTTCACACATGATGCTATGCCAGGTTTTAGCTCTGTGTAGGCAAGCCCCAAGGATGCCTGCCTTCTCCTTCTCTGCAGCTGGGAGGAGACATTACTCTGGATTGAATTTCTGTGACTCCTGGCTTGTCATTAGATAGGAATTAGGAATTGTTCTTTAAGACAACCTGCTTTGCTAAACAATCCACAGTTTACATGTGGATTGTGTAACAATCAACTAGAGGGTTTGGGGGGTTTTAATGATGTTTCTTGGCTCATAGGTAAGGGCAAGCCAGGAATTATAGACACTGAAATAGAATTATGGTTAAGATTTCCTCTTAGCTATGCAGGAGGCAGAGAGAGGAGCAAAGAGCACACAAACCCAAGACACTACATCATCATTTAGGGTTACTTGTAAATTGGACCGTGTAGCAAGTAACCATTGCTTGCTGCCAAGTGTAAAGCCAGCAGGAAGCTGCAAACAATCCTGAATCTCCTGTGAGGGTACCATCAGAACCCCCATAGTTTTGGATAGATGGTGTTTGTCCTGGCATGAGCTTAGCATATATAAAATGCAACAAATAATGTGAAATTGTGTATATGCTGGTGGGTTAAGTGTAACTCTTAGAGCCAGATCTAACACAAGCTTACTTGACAAGGGTCCCACTGAGCTGAGTGGGAGCTCTTTCTTTGTAAATGTTCTTAGATTGCTACTTTTACATCTAGATCCAAGGGAGGCAAAATGCATGCCTCATGCAGCCCCTGCCACAGCATCAAATTTAGCAATTGTGGGTGAAAAATCGAGAATGCCAGTTTTAGCCTTCTAAAGCACTAAAGCAGGCAATTCAGCTCTCTTGTAAGCTAAATATGACCCTTTTAGTGCTTTGTAGCCACTCTGGAGTGCTGAAGAGAGGTGTATTTAGATTGCAGAGAAGCAAAAAGTAGCCCATGTAACATTTCATAGTGCCATGGAATGGTTTGTGACCGAATTTCATCAGGAAACCACCGGGAAGCAATTTTTTAAATGGATCTTCCCTCTGGTGTTGCAGCATCCCAGGGAGTGTGGGCTGCTTGGTGGGGTAGCAGGACAAAAAAAAATGGTGCCCAGGCCTCCTTTAGTTGTCCACCTCTGCTCTAAATAGATACATTAAAATAATGCACAGCAATCTGCTATAGTTCAGAATAATGTAATAAAAATCACTTCTTGCTATTAAATCATTTACAACATGAGCTTATCCTGAACTTTATTTTGTTGGGGACACGATAAAGCAGTGTTCATGAAATGTGAGCGATTGCAATATTTTAAAGCTGTTTCTCTCTTCATATACAAAAAGATTATTCAAATAATACTCATCTATCCCTCTGTGCGGATGTACATTTTTGTGTACGTAATGCTTAGCTGTCTGTCTGTCTAATGATCCATCCTTGTTCTGGAATCTGTTTGCCTGCCCTATTTCTCTCTGTCAACTGTCTAATGAATATTAGTCTCTAATCCATTCATGAGGGACATTAGACAATAAAATGACAACTGAGGCAAACCTGAGCACTCCTTCTTCTCACATTTATTTTAGTGTGAGATTGTTAACCATTGTGTAACTCTCCAGCGGTGAGCAAGAGGGCTTCATTTTGGGTCAAATGAGATGTAACGTAGGAGATCCATGATTAGGATCTCCCAGTGTTTTTTGTTTATAACTCTCATAGTGCTAAGTTGAAGACTGGGGAACAAGAAATGGGGAAGGAGAGATTTAGCCCTTTTATAATCCTCTGTATTCATAGATTTTATTGTAAGCCATCCAGAGACAAAAGTGATGGACAGCCTAGAAATATCCTAAATGGATTAATAAATAAATAATCCCCTGATCTAAATGCTCCCAACTGTCTTGAAGCTGCAAGTTTCCTTGAGTTCTCCCACAAAGATAGTAGTAGCTCTCTCTCTCTCTCTCTCTCTCTCTCTCTCTGTCTCTGTCTCTGTCTCTGTCTCTGTCTCTGTCTCTCATATTCTCTTGCTATCACTCAGCCATGTCCATGACCTTCCAAGGACCTGAATGGAGCTTCCAATAAATTAATAAGAACTCAATTGCAGGAGGATCCACCTCTCCCTCCTCACTTCTCCCTTAAGTCATAGGCTGCTTTCTGGGGATTCATATTGTTCACCCATTAGTTTTATTATTTCCTAATTAGCCTTTTATCTTGGTTTACCTTCAGGAAAACCCAGAGTGGCTTACATGAGGCTCTGCAGACTTCCATCTAGATACTAGTATGAGATTCTCTCAGGTCATCTACTAGAAACTAGTGGAAGAGTCTTTCTACTCCTGACATACATGAATGTTTTTAGACACTTTTAAGGGCTTGGTTCTTAAACTTCCAAAGTTTAGAATAGCTGATCAGGGCTGTCAAGAATAGGACATTTTGGCAGGCGTTCATTCATAGGATCCCCACATGTCAGTGACAACTGGACCTGCACATCACCACAACCAAGCTTCCAAAGATTCCAAGCTTCCAATTCGATATCTCATCAAATAGAGGTGTAAATCAACTAATGATGTATTGCGTCACCTTGTGTTCCCATGTGTATAATGCTTAGCTAATTCTGGTTCAGATTTGGCCAAATGCAGATCTGAATCAAGGTGATGCAGACATATTTTGCAGTGTCTGAATTGGACCAAATCTGAACATTCCTGAAGATTCAGGATTCAAAGGGACACAGAAACATAGTTAGGGGGTATCCCAAAACTGATAAGATCTCTCCCAATGTTCTCCATCTAAAGAAAATACCTGGATGGGGAAAAGAAGGGTGTGTGTGGGAGGGGTATAGTTTTGTGACCAGCTGCTGTAACCAGTAATCACAGTGCCTAGTTTTACCAGAGCTTTCCAGGCCCACCGCTCTGCGTGAGGGATGCTGAGATAACATACTTCAGGACTGGTCCGGTGTTCAGTGCTTTTTGCTGGTTCTTTCTCCTAAGGGCAGGAATATTAAAATAGTTTTGGTGGAATCTGTATGAGCTGGGAGGGTGCTGCATTGGGTGCTTATACGGACAAGGTTGGATGTTAACTCTGCATCTGTGAGTGTACCCTTGACATCCATCATCCACCACCGTCCTATTATATTTTCTGTCACTTTGGTGTCAATTAAGCAACACCCCCTGCCCACAAACCTTAAAACTTTTCATTCATCATAACTCCCTAGCCCTTGAACCCCTTCTGAAATTTTGCAGGTTTCTTGCCCAGGGACACTGCTTTTATATGTTCTATTTTCTTACAGATTTCCCCACTTCCACAAAGAACTCAACAGGGGAGTAAAGAAAAACGAATTACTTCTGCCCCCATCCCACCAATTTGAACATTCCCCTTCTACAAAACAGATTGCACCTGTCCTTCTGAAATTTGCAGGCTGGTGTCACTTCTATGCCGCACGTCATTTCTCTAACAACTGTTCCCACAAAACATAGAGATATTTTTTTAAAAACCCAAACTTTACAGTAGGGCTGCAAAACTCCCAGACCACAGGTAGTCCACATCAGTTCAGCATGGACAAAGGCAAAATGAGCGGGTGTGATTGCATTAGTGGATGCAGGTGTACCACCTGGATAATCCAGCCCAGAAAGGTCTGGTCCACCATCCAAATCTGGGGCCTGTGAGGCTGCTCTTGCACAGAGCTTTCTGCATCTGTTCATCTTAAACTCTGCAGGATTTATTGCCTCATAAGGGCAATTATCCTAGAAAATTCCATCACATTCTGCAAAGAAATGCAAATATGATTGACAGGTGGCTTTCAGTTTTGTTTTTGTTTTGGTCAAATCAACATGTAAAGCCATGTAACATAAAACCTTCCATGGCTGATGGGCACATTTCCCTCATAATTAGCTACTACTCGTGCAAAATTGATCTAGGTGTGACTAAGAGGGAAAAAGATACGGCTATTTATTGATTTCTAATGATAGCTAATAAAGAAGCATGAAAATTTGTATTTCGTAATATTTGAAACTGAGTTGAACTGGCAGTCTCTGAAGCAGCCTGAGCCAAGCTAGGCTGCTTTTCTACATCATGAAATAGTGTTGTAAACCAAAATTAAGCTAATATATCGATTATCCATCTTAATTTCAAAATGTATGTTCCTAAACAAAATCTATTAGTCTATTAACCCTATTTTGTTCAGAAGGGAGACTAGAGAGATAATCCAGACAATTGATTCAGTAATATGGATAGATGTATAGACCGTTAAGCATTATAGAAAAACTAAATAGGATAACTTGTTACTTGATTGAGCAAAAGTTGCTTCCACTGATTAACAGTAATTGATCAACTGAGAAAGTAAAGAGTGCATTCCTTTTGTTCACCATACCTACAAGAGCAGATAAACTTACTAAATGGTAAACTGGAGCTAATTATCTGCTCAGCAATTTTTTCTAGGACACTATAAGAGTGTTACTAAGGATCAGTTCACAGATAGTCATCCTAGCAATCCTCCACATGGTGCATTGACCTCCCGGATTCTGCAGCTCACACTTCTTTGCCATGGGAAGGCATCCTGCTTGGGCTGGATGAGCGTATGGACTGCCTAGAGTAAGATACATGGCAATGCTCTTCATATCTTTATAACCACAGGAATCTTGAGCTGCTTGTTCTGGGCCTAGTTTCTCATGATTCATGGGAGTGGGTTCATTTCTCTGGGCCAGCTATCCTGATTTTTCTTTGTGAAGGTGTATCTGGCTCTTTCCACCTTAATTGCCTGCTTGAAAGCTGCATTTTACCAATGTTTACCATGATGTAGACATGAAGAGTAGGTGTGTGTGTCTTAATACTCAGGCATATACACAATCAGGAACCATGGGTATCTTTATGTTCTTACACATCCACCATAGGGAGTATCAGTGGAACACTCGTACAGTGTGAACGGTGTGGATCTAAAGCTTATGTCACTGAGGTTAACCTCTAGGTAAAAAAAGACAACATGTGAACCTGGGCCTTAATTCTGTTGTCACAATTTGAAAATATTTGAAGTTTGCAAACCCAGGATCTGAAAAGCTTCTCTACAATAACTTGATTTTTTTCTTTTTGCATATTGAATATTAATTCCTTTCTTCTCCATTAGAATGTACTTGTAACTATATAGCTTAAATTCTGCAACAGGAGTCCTTTCCCCAATAATTATAATTGAAAAAGGGTTTGGTCCTAGGAGAGCCAGGCATTAAGTTAGGGTAATACGTCTGAAGTTCCCTAAGAGATTTGAGAGACATTGATAGCAGATGATGGAGCCTGCATTTGTGGCAGGCAGGAGGAGGCTAAAACTAATACTGCCAGCCATCACACTGCAGGGAAGAGGAGACACTGCGAGATTTAATTGTGTGCATAAAAGTACAGGTTGTGCATGCATGATCATTTCAGGAAACATTAACCAGAAGGGAAGAGCTTGAGGTAAAACAGCAGCAACAACAAAACATCTTGTGACACTTTAAAGACTAACAGATTGATTTGGCATGGGCTTTCCTAGAAAGCTCCTAGAAAAACTTGTCCCGGAATGCATTTGTTAGACTGCAAAGGAACACAAGCGTCTTTGATAGTGTTGTTGTAATATACTAACACTGACACTTTCGGGAAATTGTCGCGGTAGCCTTAAAGACAATTGTCAGGCAGAGGCTTCCCCCGTTGGCTTTCATGCTGGGATCAGAATTAGGCATGCATATCCACTGTGCATGAGCTGTCTGATGGGGCAAATTGAGAAGCCCTGTTCACATGTGAAGTGGAGATGGTTGGCCAGGCACGCAGGACCACTTAGATGCCTCCATGGGTGCGCTAGAAGAAGCCCATTACGAAAAAGTCATTTGCTGTGGTTCTGCCTAGATGGAGGGATGGTGAAACTTAGTCCACAGCTGAGCAAGAAAACAGCCTGTTTCCTGGAGAAATTGTTATCTTCTTTGGTTTCATACCAAACTGGGCCTTCTTTCATTTTAGGAGTATAATTATTATAGAAATACATTCCCTTGCAGAAATAAGTGAAAAGTTGGAGAAGAGGGGCAGACTTACCTAGAAATCTTATGTAGAAGCCTTCAGAAAATTCTTAAGGTTTGTCTTAAAAATTTTCACCTCCTTCTTGTAGAAGAAGTGTCTTAAGAAGCTTATCATTACTCAAGAATGACTTCATCTGATTATTCTAGGAGATTAGTTTTTCCTCTCACTTGCTGAAGTTGACATTTGGGAACAATGATGTGTTTATGTAACCTTAAAAAAGACTTTAAAGAAGTCCCCAGCCAGCAAAGATGATAATGTTAGAATGGGCTGCTTTCAGACTTTACTAGTAGTCTCCATGTCTCAAAGACTCCATATCTGGAAATCTCAAATCTAGAAATAGCCTGCTGCTCAAAATCTGGTATGGTTCTTTGAATTAAACATGCAAGCCAGCAGGTATTTTGAGGAAGAAAAAGTATCTACATTGTCAAGCCTACATTTGACCATTACTCTTATAAATATCTGCTGCCTAATCATATTGCATACATTTTTGGAAGCTACTCTCACTGAGTTCTATGGGATTTTCCCTTGAGTAAGTATATATATATATATAAGATTTCAACCTAAAGATTCTTCATATGCAAGTAAGGAAGCATCTTTGATAATGCAAGAGACAATAGATGTACAGTGCTGACCATATTTTCATGTCCATAAATGATTTCCAGTATACCTGCATGTATTGCCTCATGTCTGGGAAAAGTTTCTCCAGAACCACACTTTCCAAGATGGTCTTCTAGCTTTATTCAGTGAAGATGTAACAAATCCACTCGATCCATGCCAAGAAGCCTATATTGAAACCATTTCACGTTACATGCTAGACTTCCAGCTTTAGTTCACCGCTAAGACTCAGAGGATGAATTCTTGTTGGGAGCATTGACAATCTGATGTAAAGAGACACAAAGCTGGAGCCACACAATGAGTGGCTCGTGTTGATTCCGGTACTGCAGCATCCTCTGCAAGGTGAATGGGTCACATCCATCCTGCTGTGCTGTTGGTTGCAACTACATTATCCAAAGTCAGGGCTGGGATGATAGAGCTCTATGATGGCTGAGATGCCTCCAGCTGTTTGCTGCACAGCCCCATCTCATCCTGCCATCCTGCCTCCCATTTCTGTGCTGCGTTTCTGTATTCTCATCGTCTTATTTATTGTTCTACATCAAATGAAAGCATACAAGTGATGAGTGCAATTCTCCAGGCAGTGGTCCTATATAACTCTCATTCTTTTCAATATGCAGAAGAGTCATACTTGAAACATATTGCCCTCTTTACATTACAATGTGTGGAGGTTAGGGCATGTTTCCAGCACTCAGTCCTATAAAACTGAAGTTGTGAAATAATGGATCATTTTAATGTTTTTCTATAAAGTTCTGGTTTTGAGTCATAAATAGGAGAAAAATCCATTTTCCTATTTATTTTATCTCATTAGTTTCATTTTTAGTCAGCCCTAAATTTCTAGCCAATACAATTAAAATGCACACAAAAAATACTGGGCCATTACAATACTTTTCCACGTTTCTCTTTGGCATCCATCTAATTTGAAGGTTTTCACAGAATTTTGCATTCCTGATTGTCAAAGTTAACTTCCATCTTAAACCCTAAACTTTAGCTCATCCTAAGCAACAGATACTAAATAACTAGCATGGATGTGCAAATTGAAATAATTCACAATAACCAGCTGTTATTAACAACACTAACAAATAGGCACATACAAGACATGATCATAAATCAACTATGCTGTGTGGCAGTTCAGCCTTCGCTACAAACACCAGTAGTAACAATGCACCACCGCAAAGCAGTACTTGCAGGCAAGAATTAAGAAGGTAACAACAATGCAATGTGCAGGAAATCTTGAAGATTAAAAAACAATCCTGGTAGAGAAGCACATTTCAGCTTCCCTTCCGAGTTATGCTTGAATGTTTGGATAAAGTAAGGATACTTTGGACAAGTGCCTCCTAATGTAAATAATACAGAAGTTCAGCATTCTCAGATACAAACTTTCATTGGATTTGAGGGCAAGGTAAACTCCCACATTGCACTGGGGGAATGGTGGAAAGGACAACAGACCCATTCTAAAAAGAAGTGACCTCTTTGTCATTGCGCTTCTCTCCCTTCCCAGCAAATTGCCATCGCTCGTGAAGGAGACTTGCTGACCAAGGAGAGGCTGTGCTGTGGGCTGTCCATGTTCGAGGTCATCCTGACCCGCATCCGGAGCTATCTCCAGGACCCCATCTGGCGTGGGCCTCCCCCAACCAACGGCGTCATGCACGTGGACGAGTGTGTTGAGTTCCACCGGCTGTGGAGCGCCATGCAGTTCGTGTACTGCATCCCCGTGGGAACAAACGAATTCACAGCTGAGTGAGTTGACCTGCTGAAGGCTGCATCGCATGTGTTCAGCGATCTTCCCCGCAGCCATAAAAGCTGTGGCAGATCTGTGAATGCTTCTGTACTCCAAGTTTGGAAGAATCTGGGCCACTTGATGAGTGGCTGGACTCTCTCTTTGGTGCCAGCCTCCTTTCTTGGTGCTAGTGTTCGAATTAGGAAAGGAATTTGGGATTTCCTGGTCAAGTGCTTTATCCTCTGAATGACTGTGGTCTGAGAGCATGGGTATCCACTGTATTTCAGTGCACTGGCACAACCTTCCCATATGTGTTGGACTGCAACTCCCATTATCCCACAGCTAGATGGCTATGGCATGATGGGAGTCGCAGTGCAACATAGCTGGAGGGCACCAGTTTCTGGGATCATTTACTCATACAATCATACTTGCTAATGCTTTATCACAGAATCCACCAAGCAGGAATTCACAGAGCAAGCAACTGACTCATATCCCAGTTAGGCCCCATTTTGAGTACCACACCCAGTCCTGGCCACGCACTTCAAGAAGAATGTGGACAAGCAGGAGGGGGTTCAGAGGAGAATGATGGGGTGACCAGGGACTGGAAATGGAGCCCTATGAGCAGAGGTTGAAAGAACTGGGCGCGCTTCGCTTGCAAAAGAAAAGACTGAGGAAAGATCGCCCTTTTCAAATACGTGAAAGGCTGTCACACAGAGGAGTGCCAGGATCCTTCTCGATCATCCCAGAGCGCAGGACATGGAATAATGAGCGCAAGTTACAGGAAACCAGATTCTGGCTGGATGTCAGGAAACATCCCCTGACTGTTAAAGCCGTGCCCAGAGATGTTGTGGGCAGTTTCACATTAAGGAGTTCAGGATGCAGTTGGACAGCCACCTGTCAGGGATGCTTTAACCTGGAGTCCTGCACTACCTCTATGATTCTGTGTTAACCAGTCAGTCTCTACATAACGCCTATTCTGTCACTTTTCCTTTTAGGCAATGTTTTGGAGATGGCTTAAACTGGGCGGGCTGTTCAGTCATAGTTCTGCTGGGGCAGCAGCGTCGCTTTGATCTTTTTGACTTCTGTTACCACCTGCTAAAGGTGCAGAGGCAGGATGGGAAGGATGAAATAATAAAGAATGTGGTAAGTATGGAGTAAGCACAGGGAGCTTTTCTTAGCAGGTCTTACAGCCCTGTTACCTACTGAGGCTCGCAGTGGCTCTCTGAGACCCTAGGCGGACCTCTTGCACAATATATTCCCAGTACCTGGAGTGAAACGTCAGAAGCTGCCTTGTATGGAGCCTGAGTTCTGGCACATCAGTGTTGCTTATGCAGCAGTTCTCCAGGGTACTGGTCAGGGGCTCTTCTTTCCCAGTCAGGCAAATTGCCAAGGATGGAACCTGGGGCTTATGCTTGCAAAGCAGGTGTCGTAGAAATGGTTCCACCCCTAAAGTAGGCCTTCCCTAAAGGCAGCAGATTTTCATGGTGATCAGGGATGTACACTTCTAGAATTTCTGGGGTTCTGTGGATGAGGTCTGTGTAGATCAGGGAAAGAACGCATCTAGCTTTCCAGATGTTGGATTTGAACTGCCATCTGTAGCAGCTAGTTCGGTGAATGAGCAAAGTTGTGAGAGATCTAGTTCAGTAGAACCTGGAGGGCACCAAATTCTCTATCCTGGGTATTGGAAGTCAGTCAGCTGGCGGAACAGTGAGTGGCAATTCCTTCCTGGCCATGGAAAACAGGATCTTGAGAAATGTGGGTCTCCTTAATTCACACAAAATATTTGCAAGCTGTGCTAGTCCTTTGGTGCAGCCTCAAATGTGTTGCAAGGGCTCACCTGAGACAGAAAGAATTCCTGGGTCCTTGAGTGTTCCAGAGCAGGTAGGTGGGGAAGAGGGAAAGGATTTGACTCAGGCTACAATCTCTCCCTCTTCCTCTGAATTATGGAGGAGTGGGGGCAGTTCCTGACAGCTGGGGTGGAGTGGAGGGAATAAGGGCACCTTGTCTCCAAGCACTTGCCTACAAAATGAAAGGGATATGCATTCTGAATTGACTACTTGACAAGTTTAAGTGTTGCTATACAATATCCACTTTGCCTAAAGACTTGGCCTTATTTGTCAGGTCTAAGAGCTGCTTTTCTGAAGCTTCTTTGTGGAAACACATGAACCAGGGCAGGCAATGCGTTGGCTGCCGAGGTGTTTAGCCTACAACTCCCATCAGCCCTCACCAACATAGCCAATAGTGAGGGCTGATGGTAGCTGTAGTGTAGGCTAAAACATTTGGAGGGCCACAAGCTGTCCACTCCTGGCAAAGACTGTATATACATGTTGGAATTACACTTCTTTGCCAGTAGATATTTAAGGGGGAAGAAGTGGGTCAAATATATGAATAAGCAAGTGAAGTATTTCTCTGAGGGAACGATACCAGATATTAATTTCTCCAGCTGTCTTTATGGCATCTTTCATGAGCAGGCTAGATGTAGAAATGGAGGTCAGTCTTTTCATCTTTGCCTTTGTGCTTTCTTTTCATCTCCAGCCACTTAAGAAAATGGCTGACAGGATCAGGAAGTACCAGATTTTGAACAATGAAATTTTTGCCATTCTGAACAAATACATGAAATCAGTAGAAACAGACAGCTCTACGGTCGAGCACGTCCGTTGCTTCCAGCCCCCCATCCACCAGTCCTTGGCCACCACCTGTTAAGGGGTCAGTGCTGAGAATGCAATGTGAGCGTTTGTGTTTCTCTGCAATTCTCTGAAATCGGCGAAGAAAACGAGACCAGACTCCAACAAAGACCTGCACGAGAAAACCTAAGAACACGGCTTTGGCAAGAGTGCAGATTTGGACCCACTATACAAAGCTGCATTTTTCTAGAAGGCCCGGTTTGAATGCATGTTATTCTGTATCTTTCTGGCTGGTCGTACCCACTGCTTTGAAAATGTGATGAGGAGCAGAGTGTGATTCCTCCCCTCCCCCATGGTTTCTTTTTCATTAGGGCCAAGATCCACCCAATCAAGCACAAAATGCTATGGTCTTTAAAATGGTAGTTGTTTGGAGAGTTCCAGATAAAGCAGCCAGTGTCTCAAAGTTTTGCTAGTCTTTCATTTGATGCACAGTGAGACAGAACTGTATTTCTGTTGGACATAAAGCCTTGATTTCATTGAGTTTTTCAAAATTCCTCCAAAATGGTGAGGAATTTCTCGATGGACGCAAGGAAAAAAAGTTATTTTAATATCCTTGTCCATCAAGGAAGAGAGCATTTTTCATTGATTCTTTTTATAATTAAACTTCCTTTATCAACTTCATAATAATTGAAGCTGGTTAAGTGGGAGATAACCAAGAGAATTTACTCAGGCTGTGTGTTGACTCTCATTGCTACAAAGTAGAACAAGGTAAAACCTTCTCTGGGAGTCTTCCTTGTTGACCTTCGTGCCTCCTGAGTGAAGGCATGTTTCTCAGGCTTAGCATTCTGGACAGCCAGGAGAAGCAACAAAGGTTTTAACAGCCTGGACCCTCAATGGAATAATCAGGCATGGATTATCTAATTTAGAAATGTAATTCATGCATTTAGTGTAGCATTTTTAATAATGTTCAATAGAACGACAAGATCAACCACTGTGCTTCTACTTTTTGGAATAGTATATGAAATTTGGCCATTAGTCCAAGTTGCTAAAATGGAGACAGGATTTGGAGTACACCCAGTATAACAGTTCATCCATTCTTTTTTAATAGGTGGCAACTTGTCTTCCCTGGTTCTGTAAATATATGGAATTGCAACAAGTTTTAAAGCTCCCTATCAATCCTGTAGAACAAAGGAAAGGAATAACGATGTAAACAGTTTGCAGAATTGTGGATACTGACGGGACTGAAATACCATCTTCTTCCAGCAGCTCACAGCAGCGTAGACTTCCTGTTACCAATGAGCCTCCAAAGATTAGGCCATATCACTTAGTATATTATATTATACTGTCAGTCATAGACAAGCCATACCAAAAGTGTTACCAAGAAGTGGAACTATAAAGTCAGCACCCTCTTGGACCTGGTAAGAAAGTCTTCCCAGCTCCAAATAGGATGATGAATTCATCCCCCAGTTTAGCTTAAGTCTCCCTGGCCCATAGCTCTGTATCATGTAAAGGGAACAATCTTTACAATTTTAAGAGATTCTTTTTTCAATCTGCCTGAACAGTCACCTGAGGTAAATTCATTGTGCAATTTTCACTCCCTACTTCTTGGGGACAGGGATTTCAGAATTACAGTTCTTCAGCTGCGCTGACTCAAGGAAAAGACAGTGTTTTCTTTCTTTCTTTGCTGTACAGTTTCCAAAGTTATTAAGGAAAAACTTAAAATTCAATCCTTGTTCCTTGTTAGACATGAAAGACAAAGGGCCAGGCAGTTCTCCTGTGCGGACCACAATAAAATGAGTGGGAAGGAGTGGTGCATAAGCCACAAGGAGGCTTGCTCAGGACAACTCCTGGGGGAATGTGCCCAATGCCAGGTCAAAATTATACCTGCTGGAGCTCTGATGGCAAAGTTACCCTGATTTTCCTACTGGTAAGAGTAACAGCCTTCAGTTCCCCCATTCTTGTCATTTCTTGACCTTATCTTGGCTAAGGCAGCCTCCACCCTTTCACATCGCAGATATTTTAAACTGTGGCCTTCCTCATTCTGCTCAGCCTGAAGCCAATATGTGAAACCAATGTAGTACTTCAGTGCTGGTGTTTGGCTCATCACCACACAAACATGACACCAGTGATGAAGCTGTCTACAAACTTTTTCCTGTTTGAGAGAGCACATGAAGTAGAAACCTCATACCGTTCAGCATCAGATTGAGGGAGAACATTCTTTCTCAAAGAACATCAGCAGCACAACTCAGCACAAAGCATATTTCCTTTGACAAACTGTTTTGCTTCTTTAAAGCGTTACATTGGTCATAGTTAAATACTCTTCCACAGAATGTGGTCCTGAGACAGTGTGCTGCAAGACTGGGCTCATTCTCCATAATATGGAACTAAGGGAAAACTCAAAGAAGTCATCAGAAGACTTGGACTCAGGCAGTCAGGGACTCAGAATGTGATGGGAAAATAATTCCTGACTATCATTTCCCATCCTAAATTTCTGTGGAACAGTTCAGTGCTTCAGGATTTTGGGTGTTTCCAGTCTTGTTTAATATCTTACATATATACCCTTGACCTCAGAGTTACAAAACTGGAGCAAACATGAGTAACAATTCCAATGCTCTTCATTTCTTCTTTTCACTATTACACATTTTTTGAAATAAACCCTCAAGTTTTAAACACCTGTAGTTATTCACCAGAGCAAAAGGACACAGGTCTGAACTCTCCATTCACTTGGGGAAGCTACTGAAATCAAGAATAAATAAATAAATAAATGCCACCCTGAGGTGTATGTAGAGCCAAGATGTTACATTTTGCATTCTATGTTCAACAGAGGACTCAGCTAGACAGTTGTTAATTGTTACTCAACATTGTTTTCAGTTTTATGAAATGGATTTGAGATATGCTGACATGGCACATTTTCGCACAGGGATTCTCAGTTACCCTGTTGTGAAGTTGATGTTATCTGTAGGAAAATCCTACATGTTGTACTGAAGTTAGAAGGAAGGCAGAATTGAGCTCAGGGTAATAATTCTAGTCTTTGAGTATGGGGAAAATTCAGGGTCAGTTTAACCCTGTAAACGGTTAAAAAAACAAACAAAAACCAGGTATCTGTCCAGCATCAGCCTCCCTACCAGGAAGATTTTGCTTTAAGATGTCTGTCCTCTGATTCCTTCCCATGGCTTTATAATGGCCTTCATCAAACATTCTTCACTGGATAGTTCTGGCTGCTCCCCACCTGAACTACACAATAAAATTGCTGTCAGGGAGTAAAGCTAAGAAATCCAAGTTCTTGGTCAGGCATTCCCGTACCGTGGCAAGATATGCAGAGTTCCAGAATCACACTGCTCATGTGCCACTAGGAACAATTGTGCCGCTATGAAATACCTCGAATGCACTTGCAGGCCCAGAGTGCCCATTCACAGAGGAGGCTGCGCAGTCCACTCTTGCTCTAGCCTTCCGACTGGCATTCGCTGCAAGCTGAACTCTCTGCCGTGTCTTTCTGATTGGGTGTGCAGAGACAGCAGCAAAACAGTTGCCCTCGGAGAGTGCCCAATTCATATTGGGACGCAGGCTAGAGACCCTCCAGAGCTGGTAGTCTTCACTCTGACTTGCATTGGGGAATACTGGTGTGAATTGCTCCTCCCATGTTAATTCAGGGGCAGAGGGGGACAGCGCTCCCCGCTTTCCTTTGGGTAGCACTGATCCCCAGTGAGTGGGTTACAACAATATGACTGAATCGGCCAGCCGCAGGAAGAGAAAGGGTTAAACAGCCCAACCCTGCCGCATCTGAGGCTGCTTTTCTGCTAGAAGAAACACATTTTCAGGTGGGTGGTCAGGAAGAAACATGCAACTGCATGAACTATTGAGTTCAGCATTAAGCATTCCAAGTGGAATGCAGGAAACCACAAAGAAACATAGTGCAAGATACATCCTGGGTTACTCACATTAGAATAAACTAGGAGAACAAAGAGTCCAGACTGGTTCAGCAACGAAAATGAAGAGCTATGGTTCCTTTGGGCTCATAGTACAACCTGGTTTTCTATCAGTTTGATTTAGGGACTTCGTAGAAGAAATGAACAAATTCTTGTGCCCTTCAGACATGATCTGATTCCTAGCAGCACTTGTCAGAAATATCAATGGTCATATTAATTCCTCTGCTCCTCTGTATTGCTCTGGTTATAACTGATATTTGTCAGAGTTTTTTTTAAAAAAGCATTTAAAGAACAACTTTGCATAATTCTTCCAAATGTACCATATTTCTATGAAGGATTGTCCAGGACTTTTTGTACAATGAATTTACATTTATTTATGGTGCGGTATATTTACATTAGTGATCCACTATGGTGTTTGAATTCTTGAATCATATTTGCTATGCAGCGGAAAATGATATATATTGTTTTGTAAGTTTTGTTCTTTCATCATTGGTCAACAGAAGTTTCTCATTTCCATTCAAAATGCTTCTGCAACGTTAAGGCACCTTGTGTGTGGTGCCATGATTACCTGTATTGCGACTTTCAACAATGTGTACAGCAAAGCTGGGAGAAACCCTGTTAACAAGGAAAAAGTAAATAAAAAATAATCAAATGGTGTGAACAGAGGGTGAGGAAATGGTTATGAGGTATATGCTTGTATGTGGGTCAAGGTAACAGCTGAATCAACCACAGGACCATTCAAGACTCACCAGGGCTCCCATAAGAATTGGGAATTCAGATCTTCTCCATTGCTGTTTCCCATCCCACCCAGTTACCATCATACCTGCAATGTCATGTTCTCAGTGCCACCCAACTCAAGTGGCTTAGGGTGCCGGATTCAAAATGGTAGGAAGAATGCCATTTATTTATCTATCTATTAGTAGCTTTTCTGTCCCGTCCCCTACAGAATGTCTCAGGACAGCTGCCAAACTTTCCTGATGCTCAAAGGTCCAAGCCCTTGGGCATGGACTAAGGGCATAATCCAGGGATGTTTTCATAATATAGCTTGAGGTATGCATTACCATTTCAAAGGTACCTGGATGTAGCTCTGTATGTATGGCCACTTATCGCAGGTGCTGTTATACTGCTATTACCTCCTGACCATGGCCCAGTAGTGATAAACATTGTCGAGTTTTGTACTTCTGGTTTCTGATTTCTTCTAGAAGTGCACATTACGGTGAATGTCAGGAGCTGGAGATGAGTGTTAATTAAGAAACACTTCTATCCCTGCTCTGCTGATTGAGAAGTATAGTTACATTTTTTCATTTATGTAAATTATGTGCTTCATTAATTTCTTACATTTTATGACATGCAGTAGCCAAGATCCTCTGAGCTGTTCACAAAGCGAAACTGGAAACCATAAATTCAGTAACAGTAAAGCACATCATAAAAAGCATCCTATAAAAGTACTATGATCCACTGCTGTCTGCCTGCTGGTGGGACCAACCACTAGTACAATAGGAAGCTAACTGTTCCCAAAGACATTGAAAAGAAGCAGAAATTCCCATTTCTGCAGTGGCAATGGTCAACAGAGGTGGCAGCAGAAAACAGAGACAAATGTTTCCACTCACTGGCAAGGGAAAGAAGCTGCACTAATTGTTGATCTCATGCATGCAATAGAATACATGGAGGCGTGGGAAAATAAATACTAAGTCAAAGGTAGGATGAAGAACACTGAGGAACTAAGAGAGACCTTGTTATGCACACATCACACAAAAGGTCTGGGGACCCAACAAGCAAAAGCTACCAGACAAAATCCAACATAAATTCAGTAAGTAATGTTCTGTTAAAACAAACTGTACTCTAACTACTGCACAAAGAAAAGCTATTCATGGAACTGCAATAAATGTAATCTGAAGCAGAAACACACAACCCGTGGTACTGTCCCCACAGGTCCTGCTGGGGAAAAAATGCTCACCTTCCTCCTAAAGCCCTAACAGGCAGACCAGTTTGGGAAGGGTGGGACAAGGTTGGCAATACATATCAGAGAAAATGTTACTCTGGGTTTCCACACCCCTTTTGGAGTAGAGTCAATAGATGCAGAGTTGCATATGGAAGAAGGTATTTCCTAAGACATACTGGTCCCTAGTAGTATTAACCAGCACCTTGGAAACTAAGAGCTAGTCAGAAGTAGACGCCTGCAAAAGCAGTCTGGCAAATGACTCAGTGAAGTTAGGAAATCATAAATGACAGGTGTTAGACACTTCATTTTACAAGATGAGATGCAACTATTTGATACGCTGGCTGCCAGCTGACCTCAGCAAGCATGCATCCAGATATTTTGGATTCTTTTCCACGTGTGGACCTTGAGATGTGGGGCAGTGAGTCTAGAAATATGAGGGCCACCTGAGTCAGTTCTCAGCTGATTGAATGGCCCCAGGTGTGACTGATGGGATGATTAAAGGAATGCCTCCTTCAAAAAAGGCTGCCCACTATTATTCCCAAGAAGCAGTAACAAGACCTTTCTGAAGGAGACCTTCTCTTGACCCGAGAGATCTGCTAAGGTGATTTAGGAGCTACTGTCATTGCAACTCCAGATGCATGGATTAAACTGATCATCTAGAGTCTAGATTCTAGACCATTTCAATGGGCCTTTGGCCAGAACATTGGACAGACTGCTTGGCCACCCTAGTGACCAAGGATGCAGGAGCCAACATAAGTAGTTCTCTTGGCCCTCCTGATGGCCACTGACCCTACTGAGCATGGTACCCTTCTGAACCATGCTGCAGGACTGTTTTGGATGTACTTTTTTTTTTTACTGTTTTGCAATTTTATTCTTTCCGATTGTTGCACACTGCCTTGATGGCTTTTGAGCAGGGAAGGTGGTATATTGATGCTCATAAATAAATATAATGAGGCTTATGCGAATGGGGTGGCATACAAGTATTCCAAATAAATAAATAAATATTTCACTGGGGCATTTCTGAGAGTTTTCTGTTCATAAGCAGAGTTTGACTCAGTTTCTCTAAGGGGCTAATTCTTCAGAGCAAAAGCTGCTTAACATAGAGTTACCTTTCTAGGAGCAAACAGTACACTCCTAATCATCACATGGTCTTAAGAATAATATCTTTGAAAGGGTTTATTCATCATAAGGGTGCTGATTTCAAATCCCTTCAGTACTTGCACTCAGTATTTATAGTGTTATACAGAAGCACCTTAAGGAATTTCAAAGAATCAGTAGAGATCTAATTAAATTCCATTGGATGCCTCCCAAGTACCAAGTGACCAAGTATGACCACACTTTTCTTAATCTGACAATATACAACAATTTACACACACACACACACACACACACACGGTATCCTGGATTGGCAGGGTACTAGATTCAGTAACAAGATGCTCTAATCAATAGCAGAAGAATTAGGATAACTAAGCACTGCAAACTACAGTAGGGAATCATTGCCATTGATAGCAAGTGAAACAATGTGTTATGCAAGGATAGCTTTCCAGGCACATGGGACATGGTTGAATGCCCTGAATTGTCCTCCTTTTTTCTCACACACAGACTCTAGTATTTGCATCTCTAGTCATGTCTTGCTCTTCCTATATTTTTTTAAAGACCTTGCCATATTAATTGTCCCCTAAATCAGTTATATTGCTATATTTACTGATTTTATTGTCATTACTGGTTTTATTGTGAATTGTGAACTTTTAACTGTGTTGCATATGTTGTGAGCTGCCCAGAGAGCATTATGGCTAATGGAGCAGCACACACATTGAATGAATGAATGAACAAGGTATTTAGCTCTTAAAATATTTTAAATTACTGTTACTCCTTTTAAAGTCTTACAAAAATCGAAGCTTAAAAATGGATCTTTTAAAGTTTCTTTGTTCCAACCACTGTGTTATTTATTTTTATTACAAATATCAGTCTGAGAATGTTGGCTATAGGGGACTCATAAATGGAAATATTAATTATGAAGATGATGACAATTAGGCAGCTTTGAGGTCCTTTTTGCATTGCATTTGGCAAACATACTTTTTTTAATTTGGCAAACATAAATTTTACTCATTTGAAAGTAATTATATCACCTAAGGGATAGCAACAGTCAGGACAACAGACCTATGAAATGTTCAACAGCAATACATGAAGCAATAAATTGGAAAAGGCACTCCTTTTAATCCCATAGTAATTACAGCATGACTCACAGCCATACTGTAAAGGACAGAACCTTTGTTTTGCAAAGCGAGAGTAAAGGGGTTGCCATACCCCATGCGATTCAACCAGTTATTCCTCTTCGGTTTCCTGCCTTTATTTGTCAGTAACTTCACAGCATGGTGGTCACATGAGTCCTAACCACAACTCAGTACAAAACTTTTAGCTTTTAGCATGTAAAATGTGTGTTCTGTAGTGCAGGACTGATTGCATTAATATATTACATCAGAGCCAATTAGGTTTACATAGAAGAATAGAAGCTTTTAAGTTTCACATAATTCTACTTTGAGTTTCTGCCTGATCAAGTCACACCAAGATATTTTTGTTTCCTTTCTTTGGAATGTTAGTATCTTCTTGGTGGTCTCTCTGCATCACATATATGGGGTCCTGCATTAGGGAAGATTCTCCTGGTCAAGCCTTGTTGTTGTTAGTCGCGAAGTCGTGTCAGACCCATAGTGACCCCATGGACAACATCCCTCCAGGCCTCCCTGTCCTCCACCATCTGCCGGAGACCACTTAAGCTCACACCCACTGCTTCAGTGACTCCATCCAGCCACCTCATTCTGTGCCTCCCCTTCTTCTTTTGCCATCTGTTATTCCCAGCATTAGGCTCTTCTCCAGGGAGTCCTTCCTTCTCATTAGGTGGCCAAAGTATTCGAGTTTCATCTTCAGTATCTGGCCTTCTAAAGAGCAGTCAGGGTTGATCTCCTCTAGGACTGACCAGTTTGATCGCCTTGCAGTCCAAGGGACTCGCAGGAGTCTCCTCCAGCACCACAATTCAAAGGCCTCAATTCTTCGGCGCTCAGCCTTCCTTATGGTCCAACTTTCACAGCCATAAATTGCAAGTGGGAAAACCGTAGCCTTCACTATATGTACTTTTGTTGGCAGGGAGATGTCTCTGCTTCTTAGTATGCTTTCTAGTTTTGCCATAGCTTTCCTCCCCAGGAGCGTCTTTTAATTTCTTGGCTGCAGTCCCTGTCTGCGGTGAACTTGGAGCCCAGGAAAATAAAATCTGTCACTACCTCCATTTCTTCCCCATCTATTTGCCAGGAAGTGAGAGGGCTGGATGCCATGATCTTAGTTTTCTTAATGTTGAGTTTCAAGCCAACTTTTGCACTCTCCTCCTTCACCCGCATCAAGAGGCTCTTTAGTTCCTCTTCACTTTCTGCCATGAGAGTGGTATCATCTGCATATCTGAGTT